AGAATTATTAATAAAAGAGTATAGGTGGATTTTGGTAGGGCTTATATTTTCAAATCAAGACCCCCAAATTTCACGATAATCTGATTTCACGATAATCCGCGACATTTAATATAAAAGTTTCGTTATTTATATCACTATTTTACATCCGTTTATTTCACATGCTTGCAAATTATTTCGAATTAATGCGAAATAATTTTCGTAATATTGCATAATTTATTACGTATGTATTTCGTAATATTGCGTAATTAATAATTTTGAAAGATTTCGTGTTGTTTCGAAATTCTTGTGCAAGATTTCAGTCCGTAATAACTTATGTAAGATTATAGTTATATATTTTGCTGATGAAGTAATTTTTAATTTTTCCAAAAATATTCTTATAATGATCATTTATAATACAATTCAAAGTATTATCATGAACCAAATAAGTTCAACTTTCTTTTTAAAAATATTGATCGAATTGTTTTATAATACAAATTGAATTACTATTATGAATTGAATAATATCCAATTTTATCTAATTTAACTAAATTACATTTTGTATGATCAAATTTAGAACTAAAGAAATTTTATTGTTATATAACAAGCAGTTCGTGTTTTTTTTCAATAATAAATTACGCATAAATGATTAAATATAAGTATGCATTATAATTAAATAGTTATGCTATATTTATTTTAAAATGTACAAGTTTGTAATTATTGACTATGCGATTGTATTTCTTGACTCTTATATTTAGCTTTATTATTTTAAAAAATATTTAAAAAGAAGGTAAAATTCGTTAGTGTAAAGAATTACTTGTGAAATAAATACAATAAATCAAAAGCTAATTCCTCATAATTGTAAACTAATTTTAATAACATCTTGCACTAACAACTTTAATGCACTCTATATGTTTTTTAAGTTAAAGACACACCTAATTATCCAAATTAATTAAAAATTTTAAAAACTCATCTATATCCAAATACAATGGGTCGACTAAAACCACAAAAAAAGCATCTTAAAAATAGCAGAACTTCACAAAATTGTGAACAATGAAAAGCATTACTTAATAATCTAATTTTAATATTTGCTCAATTAAATAATAGCGATTTCAATTATATAATGAAAAAAATATTTGAGTCTCGAGAAATAAAAACTCATGTCCAAAGAAAACATAGCGATTTGCTTATATATATTTGTAATTTACCTGATCAACAAATATTTGATGCGTCTTCTCTTTTTCAAACAATAGTCTATACTCAGGGAAATCATCAAGGAGAGCTAATTTCTGCCTATTTGCAAAAAAAGGCTCAAGATTTTATTAGTGATAGTCTTTATAAATTAGATAATAGTCTTTGTACACTAAAGCTACAAAATAAAAACTTGAAACAAGAGAACAATCAATTTAAAAAATATAAAAGTACAACAAGTACTCAAATTTGCACACTTTCTATACAATTAGCAAGAGCAAAACAAGCAAAACAAAGACAAATTTCAAAAATTCGAGCTGCTATTCATAAAGCAAAGCAAATTTAACCTGCCTAATTTCAACATGTAGCTGATAAATTGTTTAAAGCTAATAATAAAGAATATAATACAAAGTTTGTAAAATTAGCCACAGATATTAGTAATATTGGACAAACTTCTATATATGCAATAGTAGAATATACTAAAGCCTTTTACCAATTCTTAACTGGGGAGCAGTGGATAATGCCAAGCACTTTAGCATGATAGAACAATGAAATAGCAACTTTGTTCTTTGATCAAAACTATCCTATAGATACTTGTTCAAAATTTTTTGGCTATGGCATTATGGTCAATAAAAGCACTAGGGAAAAAAAAAAATACTAATTATTTGTTATTCATATTGGAATAATATTAAAAAAAAACCCACAATTACTGTAGTAAAATTAACAGACCTAATACATTGCAATGCTGAAATGGTTTCAACTACAGTATTCGAAACATGTCAACAAAAAGGTATAAACCCCAGAAATATCATTTTTGGCTAACTGATAACACGGCCTATATGTTTTCAGAATTAAACAGTGCTGTCACCAAAGTCAACTCATTATAGATATCTAAATCTTTTTGGGTTTCTTGTGGATTGCACGTGACTCATATTGCTCTAACAAATTTCAAAAATATGGCATTTGGAAAGTTAGATGCTGTTAGAGGATTATCATTAAAAAAGCATCCATATAACTTACTTAATCTCTCTTTTCACCTTCACAATGGATATGATGTTTCGGATAAGAACAGTTCATTAAATCTAAAATTTGAAACATTTCAAAAGCTCTATAAAGTAATGTTTAATTTTGAAATGAATAAGTATTGACAACCTATATGTCAACAGTGGTTATATGAACTTAAAACTGCTAAACAATACCTCAATAGATATGAAGTTTATATTTTCTTTGCAAGGTTTTTTATTGAGCAACTTAAAAGTGCCAAAAATATCCCAAAATCATACTTACATAAGTGACAAATATTCCTTAAGTGGTTAACAGATAAATAGCTTAATCTTCAAATATATTGCTTAGTTAAGTTTGGTCAAAATTTTTATAAGCCTATTTATAATTTTTTAATTAGCTATAATCCAACTCCATGTATTTACCAACAAAATGATGTATATACTGTTTTATCATCAGAAAATCGTATATATGAAATGCCAGATAGGGTAACTTTATAGATTCAGGAGCTTCAAAATTATCTAAAAGATTTATATAAATTATTTGAAGATGAATTAGCTGATGCTGAATGTGAATTAAGTATAACAGATTTAAAAAATTTTTGTAAATCATTATATACCAAAATAGAAAATGTATTAAATAGTTTTATTAAATGGATGGAAACTTGGGTTTACTTGCCTTTATATGTTTGTTATTTAGGTAGTGAAAGTGGACCTGAATTTGCTTGTGCTTTCTTGAAAGTATTCTTTAATAAAAACTTCTTAAAAATATCTACATCAAAAGAGATTTCTTATACTAATCTCTTAAAAAAAGATTTATCTAAAGAATATCCAGCCACTTTCGGATTATTAGAAGCATTATTACAGCATGACTTTTTTAAGGAATTTGAAGCATTTGCAGATTTTGATATAGCTGAACCAGCTAAATTCCCTCTCATTTATGAATTTATTAAATTTCATATATGGTGCATTACAGTTCACTAGCAACAACTTGAGAGACTATTTAATCAAATATGAATATTCAGCTACAAGAATTACGTATTCAGCTCTCTGGTTTAGATGACGGTGTTCAAGAAATCTCACAAGATATATTACGAAATACTTGACAAAATGCTAGAAATTTGAGAATTAATATACAGTTAGAAAATAGTGAGGTTTCTAATGAAGAAAAAGTATATAAAATTCTTAACAGCTTCCTTAATTGGAGACATAAAAATTAATTCATAAGTTATATAACAATCAAAGTTTTTTTAATCAATATTACTTTAATAGCTTTTGTAACAAGTACTTAACTTTTTACTATGATCTAAATAATTTTAATT